CACGTGTGTCTTGTGTCATCGGTAGCAGCACGTGTGTCTTGTGCCATCAGTAGCAGCACGTGTGTCTTGTGTCATCAGTAGCAGCACGTGTGTCTTGTGTCATCGGTAGCAGCACGTGTGTCTTGTGCCATCAGTAGCAGCACGTGTGTCTGGGTCATCAGTAGCAGCACGTGTGTCTTGAGTCATCAGAGGCAGCACGTGTGTCTTGTGTCATTAGTAGCAGCACGTATGTTTTGTGTCATCAGAGGCAGCACGTGTGTATTGTGTCATCAGAGGCAGCACGTGTGTCTTGTGTCATCAGAGTCAGCACGTGTGTCTTGTGTCATCAGAGGCACCACGTGTGTCTTGTGTCATCAGAGGCAGCACGTGTGTCTTGTGTCATCAGAGACAGCACGTGTGTCTTGTGTCATTAGTAGCAGCACGTGTGTCTTGTGTCATCAGAGGCAGCACGTGTGTCTTGTGTCATCAGAGGCAGCACGTGTGTCTTGTGTCATCAGAGGCAGCACGTGTGTCGTGTGTCATGTATGTCTTGTGTCATCAGTGGTAGCACGTGTCTTGGGTCAAGATAAATCAATATTCTTGAACTCCGTAACCCAGCCCCATCCACTTTATTTTTCGATATCCCCTTCTCCCATCTCTATCACTCTCCTATCTCTATTACTCTCCCATCTCTATCACTCCTTCCTATCTTCTCCCTATATTATTCCCTCTTCCATGGTATCCTCTCTCTCACTATGTCAACCTCCTTCCTATCTTCTCCCTATATTATTCCCTCTTCCATGGTATCCTCTCTTTCACTATGTCAACCTCCTTCCTATCTTCTCCCTATATTATTCCCTCTTCCATGGTATCCTCTCTCTCACTATGTCAACCTCCTTCCTATCTTCTCCCTATATTATTCCCTCTTCCATGGTATCCTCTCTCTCGCTATGTCAACCTCCTTCCTATCTTCTCCCTATATTATTCCCTCTTCCATCGACTCACCTTCCAAAACCCCTCTCCGGGTATTTAGTATAAATTATTGTATGGGGAGTAGTTTGATGTATATGGAGTAGTTTGATGTATGGGGAGTGGTTTGATGTATGCGGAGTGGTTTGATGTATAGGGAGTGGTTTGATGTATGGGGAGTAGTTTGATGTATGGGGAGTAGTTTGATGTATGGGGAGTAGTTTGATGTATGGGGAGTAGTTTGATGTATGGGGAGTAGTTTGATGTATGGGGAGTAGTTTGATGTATGGGGAGTAGTTTGATGTATGAGGAGTAGTGTGATGTATGAGGAGTAGTTTGATGTATGGGGAGTAGTTTGATGTATGGGGAGTAGTTTGATGTATGGGGAGTAGTTTGATGTATGAGGAGTAGTTTGATGTATGGGGAGTAGTTTGATGTATGGGGCGTAGTTTGATGTATGGGGAGTAGTTTGATGTATGGGGAGTAGTTTGATGTATGGGGAGTAGTTTGATGTAAGAGGAGTAGGTTGATGGAAGGGGGAGTAGTTTGATGTATGGGGAGTAGTTTGATGTATGGGGAGTAGTTTGATGTATGGGGAGTAGTTTGATGTATGGGGAGTAGTTTGATGTAAGGGGAGTAGTTTGATGTAAGGGGAGTAGTTTGATGTAAGGGGAGTAGGTTGATGGAAGGGGGTAGCTTAATATAAGTGGAGTAGTTTGATGAAAGGGGGGTATGTTGATGTAAGGGGAGTAGGCTGATGTCAGGGGGAGTAGGTTGATTTAAGGGGGAGTAGGCTGATGTAAGGGGGGAAGTTGTTGTAAGGGTGAGTAGGTTGGTGTGATCGGGTAGAGACGTGAGAAGCAACCATAAACATTTGACGTTTAACTCATTAGGCGGGAGGAGAAGAGGGGTAGGGGGGGATCTGAGTTCCACATCACGCTATCAAGTACAGATACGAGAATGCCACCCGTGGCATTCTGCGATGTTTGATTCAGTCATGGCTTGCACTGCACTGAATGAAAAACACAATGAATACAAGGGGGTCGCAGGGATGGAAAACATAGGAACTTGCCATTGGGCAACTCAGTACATCGTGCGTCTAAGAGATATTCACAGTCGCAACGTTCCTGCGAAGTTGCTTAACGACTTACCAAAGAACTATTCCTAAACTGTAGAGGTGCTCATTCCTGCCCAAGACAATCAGGGACTGGAACCATCTTTCAAAAGGAACAGTTGAGGCGACAACACTAGACACATTTGTGTCTATTGCCTCAAGCCTTCAAACCCCTAGTGCATAATTTCCTCATCACCACCAGTAACAGAAACATTGCAAAT